TTCCTGGTCTGCTTTTTTTTTTTTTTTTTTTTTGTGAGACCCTTAGTATTGACACTAGGACTTTATGCATGCTAGGCAGGTACTCTGCTACTAACTGTATCCCTACTCTTTCATTTTAATAAAGGGGGTGTGTCTTGGCATGTTTTTCTGGATAGCCCCAAACTACTGGACCTCATATTCTCCTACCTGAGTTTCCTAAGTATCTAGGACTACTCACATGTATCACTACCCATGACTGTTTTGTTTAGTTTTTTGAGTCAGGGTCTTTAGTCCTAGCTGTGTATACAGAGTACTAGAATAAAAGGTATTCACCACCACATACAACCTCCTTGGCTTCTTTTTTCTTTTTCTTCTAATTCTTCTTCCTCTCCTCCTGCTTCTTCCTTCTTTACTTCTTCCCTCCCTCCTTCACCCTCCATCCCTCCCTCCCTCCTCTTTCTCCTTTTCTTTTTTTTTCTGTTTCACCTATTTTTATCTTCTTAACTAATGAATTTCCTAGAATCCCTAAAATGATGTACTTTAAGCCTTTAATGTTTCAGCCATGCAGTTTACAAGAGTAATTGGAAATAACTCTTACATTTTGGCAAATAATATATTTCGGAGCCTTTAGTGTATTAGCTTAAGTTGGTGTTGAACTTCCTTTGGAACATAGGAAGACCTCAGCTTTGACTTGTGCTTCCAATTAGTTAGATTTCAGGCCTGTGTCAACAGGCCCAGCTTTTGTTGTTTTGAGACGCTCTCATTGTGTAGGCTGTGTGATCCAGTCTGGTTTTGGTGATTATCAAATCCTCAAATGCAGGAGTTACAGGGAGCACTGTATGCAGCTTTTGTTGCTGTTTGAGACAGAAGGGCTGGATGTGGTGACACATGTCTTTAATCCCAGTGGTCAGTCTATGTGTCCAGGGCTATGTAGCCTTAGCTGGCCTAGAACTGCTATGTAGACTAGGCTGGTCTCAAATTCTAAAGATACACCTGCCTCGGCCTCCCATGCACCATCTTTTTTTTTAAAAGAGTATATGTGTATTCAGGTGCCAAAGAAGGATATTGAGTGTATCCCTTCTGTTCCCTCCCACCCATATACCCTCTGTTCTAATGTTACGGCATGCCGATGAACGTACCCATGGCTTTTTACTTGGATGCCAGAGAGCAAAGTAGCAAGCACTCTCACCTCCTGAGCCAATCTCTCTGGCCCCACACTCACCTTAAGCACTCAGCAGGAAGAACCTGTTTTCTTAGAATTAGCTAGGAGGATCTGTATAAGATTAAACCTTGTTGGTCCTTCCAGACCTTGATGTGTAGTACTTCAACAAGCATATCCGTAGACCTTGTCTGACTCTACTCATGGTCAGGCAGGGGGGACAGTGTATGCAAGATTAATTGGTGTTCATGTGATCATTAACCTGTTTAATCAGTACCTGGGTAAATCACAGTACGCAAACATTTCTCCTGCCTCCTCTCATCTTGTGATTTTCATGCTGGGGACTCTGTGGAATTTAATCTCTGCTCTTTTATTTTGGTTCTAGGATTACTACAGTATCCCGTTTCCCACACCCACTACTCCACTTACTGGAAGGGATGGTAGCCTGGCCAGCAACCCTTATTCTGGTAGGACTGGAATAGAGCTGAAAACAGGGAGATATGTTGGGCTTAGAGGTAGGAATGTAATTAGTAGCAAGAAGGGTTCCATAATTAAGATATTTAGTAGAAGTGTGTTTTTTTGTTTGTTTCCCAGGAAGTATGAGTGAAGTGCCCCTCTGTACCCCCTGTGCCACTTTCCCCTGTGTACAGTGCAGTCTCACTGCTTTGGTAGTAGGCTTTTGTTTATGTATAACTGATCGTTGTCTTCTCATCTTCCCTTAACTATTGTTCTTGAAGCCCTTGGAGAAGCGAAATGTAGGAAGAGTAGGATGGAGATTAAAGGAAACAAGTTGGCAGAGGAACATGGGGAGGTTTCATTTTGGGAACCTCTTTATACATTAGAGTGTGCAGCTGGACCTTCTTTTCATAGGTGACCTCACCAAGTTCGGCCGTGGGGATGCTTCCTCCCCAGCCCCAGCCACAACCTTGGCCCAACCCCAACAGAACCAGACGCAGACTCACCACACCACGCAGCAGACATTCCTGAACCCGGCGCTGCCTCCTGGCTACAGTTACACCAGCCTGCCATACTACACAGGGGTCCCGGGCCTCCCCAGCACCTTCCAGTATGGGCCTGCTGTGTTCCCTGTGAGTAACTGACTGACGGATCCCAATTCTGAACACCATCCTAGCTGCTTTCAAGGCTAAGTGACTCCTTAGTAATAAATGAAGATGAACTTGTACCTTTGGCCTATTTTGGCCTGGGAACAAGGGATATGAGATTTTAATTGGAACAAGGATTACCTGATCTTAGAATTAGTCAAAGGAGGACTGTGATACATATATGTTTGCTGTCTCCTCCTTTCTCTGCTACCATTATCACTTTAATCTACAAATTACTGTTTCTTGACTGTTCAGGTCAGTTCTGAAAACAGTGTGTTAGTTACTTTTCTGTTGTTATTTTAAAATACCATGAATAAAAGCAGCTCATGGCAGATAAAGTTAATTTTTGGCTTACAGTTTGACGGGAAGAGTCCATAATGGTGGGGTTCCAGGAGTAGGAAGTAGAAAACCGGAAGATGGGATAGGGCTACAAACCCTTAAGTCCTATCCCACTGATTCCTCCAGTAAGACTCTACCTCCTCAAGCAATGAGAGAACTAAATGCTCAAGTACAGGAGCGCTTGGAGGATATTTCTCATCCAGCCATTTCACCGTTCAGTCTGTGGCCAAGCCTACCTTAGGATGAATATCTGCCTAAATATCCTTGGAAGTGAGACAGATGCTATCTGATGCTGTTTCATTCTATTTCTTTTTGTTCTTAGGTGGCTCCTACCTCTTCCAAGCAGCATGGTGTGAATGTCAGTGTGAATGCCTCGGCCACTCCTTTCCAACAGCCAAGTGGATATGGGTCTCACGGATACAACACTGGTAAGTTCCCTTGGCTGCTTGCTCTATGGCCTGTGTGGGATATTACTGGATGGGAGAAAGACTTGGTATTTGAAAGTGGGTTGGTGAGGGTAAGCAAACATTGTCTTAAGAACACTACCAACAAAGAGCTTGTACTCGGGCATGTATCCACTCATATTCACAGTGGGAATGTTCAAAGGGCATGTGTTGGCTAATCTGAGTTTTGGTGAGAAACAGGGCAGGAGCCCCAAGATTTCCCTGATATGTGTGAGAGCTGAGTAGACGGCTCACTTTCCTAGCTGACACAGTGTTAGATGGGTTTGAATAGATGACTCACTTTCCTAGCTAGCACACTGTGTTAAGATAGGTTTGGCATGAGTTTATTTGTAGCACTAATTTTGTTATTTGATTTTCCTTTTTTAATTCCCTAGCTATTAGACCTATAATGTGTAGAAAAAATGAGTAGACATGACTGACTACAAGTTAGAGTGAGATTTGAAATCTTAGATTTCTTCTTCATTTGTATAGCTTTAGTCTTGGAAAGACCTGCCAGATATCTAATGGCAGAGAAAGAAGTGCAGAGATTTTTTGGATACATGTAGCCTAGCCCTTGTTTCTCTGACATGGATACTTTACTTTTAGAGGATGGAGATGAAGAGAAAATTGCTATTGTGGGGTTTTTTCCTCTTTTTTTTTTTTTTAACTTTATGGGGTTTTAAATTTTGGTTTCTTTGGTTTATGTCCTTTTGAAACAGGGTCTCTCTTTGTAGCCCTATCTGTACTGGAATTCAATATTTAGACAGGTTAACCTGGAATCCACAGTCATTTTTCTGCCTCTGCCTCCAGAGTGCTGGGACTAAAGGTGTGCGCCTCCACATCTCTGTCTTACCACATCTGTCTTACTTGTTTTCTTGTTTTGTTTTTGTGTAGCTCAGGCTTGCCTCTAATTTGTAGCAATCTCTGCCACTGTCCTAAGTACTGGGGTAATAGGTATGTATACCATGCTTTGGTCCAGGAGAAAACTGGAAACAATTCCATGTAAATTTTTTTTAATGGTTTTTAGGTGATTCTGGGGAGGTGGTTGCTGCCATTGCTAATGGGTTGGACTTGAGGGTTATCTTTAAAAGTTTGCCTCCTGTTTATAGTTTTACAGGATTTAGAGGAACCAACAAGTGTTCTTCACGCTTCTGTGGGCTCAGGGTGGGTAAATAACCAAGCTTTTCAGTAATTGAAGAACTGAGCATAGAAAACAACCAGTAGTTTAAGATATTAATAGACACATAGAGGTTTAAACTGTGACCTTTAAAACTGGGTCATGATACACATTTTAAAAATCTTGAGGAACCTTTGAGATTTAAAACCCATACTCCTTATGACTACTTCTCTCATTGTGCAAGGCCTAGCCTAATCTTTGGGTAAAGTATAAGCTTTACCCAAAGTTAAGTATTCAGTGGTCCAGGTAAAGGCTATATGATTGATAAGAGTTGGAATCTGATTTTGAAACTCTTAGCTTCTTACCTACCTTAAGATTTCAGAAATCTGCAATAGCAGCTTTTTGAGAACCCCAGTTCCCAACCCATAACAGAGGGCTCTTTTCATTCTGTTCCTCATCAACCTCTAAATTCATTTATTTTTATGTATTTGATTCCTTTTAGGAAGAAAATATCCACCCCCTTACAAGCATTTCTGGACGGCTGAGAGCTAATTTGGCCCAAGCCTGGGGGCTGTGTTTTGTGTGTGTGTATAAATTTGCACTGAAGTCTTGTTTCAGAAACCAGACCACTGAGGAGAGCCTGCTGAGCTGAGGCCATGCCCTGCATGGCTTGGGGAAATGAGTTACCCTCTGGGCTTTTGAATTTGCCCCTCCCCATTTCCCTCTCCCCCATGTGTCTGACCCTGTCTTACCCATTTCGAGTTCGAGCGGTGCAGCACCTCCGAAGCATCAATGCACACACCTGCTGTTGCTTTTGATTTCTGGAAGGCATGTAGTTCCAACTTGTAACAAAAATATTTGTAGTCTTCAATAAACTGTGGTATTTCTTTAGCTAACTCTGCGTTCTTTCCGTGCATGTCTTTCTGGACAGTAGGAGCCAATGCTGTATTGTGGATAAAGGGTGGAGGGTGGTCGTTTCAGTCAACCCCAGGATAGCCAAAGAGCTGTTAGTGTTTCAGTATAGTGGTTCTTAAGTTGGGGGAGGGAAAACAGCCTGTTTCCAGCCTATTGATTGGTTGGTAAAGTTATTATAAATAAACAAAAACAACAAAACTGATTTCCCATGCTTTTATGTCTTTACTTTTTCATGTAGATCATCCCCTTGCCTTTGACATGGGCTGAGGGGAAAGGACAAGAAGTTAGTGTCACATCATGGTGAAAGGCAAAAGAGATGGGTGTGCAAAGCTGTTGTTAGGGAAGTATCATCCAAGGCTTAATTTTTACATCTGGTTCTAAAAGTCTGACTGGCTGATTAATATCTGATCAGGTCATTAGTGATCACTTAGTTGATGACTCGGGCTTTGATGAATTTTCAGAGACTGTGAATTATTAGTCACTTTTTACTTGTGGATGTAGCCAAAGATATGTGAGATGTTTGGTCATACTCCTGGTGGAAGATTTGATCTCCATGCACTCACTAACCAGTACGCCATCAACCGTTGGTGTATAGCATAAATTGGAACAGTTAGACCACCACCCTTGCTTAATTGGAAACCAGATATTCAGCTGTCTTTTTGTAGTTCCTACCACTCTGGTCCTATAGAATGTAACCAATTTTCCAAGTTGCTGTTATGCTAAGTAAGAGAAATGGGTTCTTGTATCTTCTGCCTACCACCTACATTGTTTTGTAATGATTTCTATCACTGTTGGGAAGTTGGGGTAGGCAGGACATATGTGATGGGAAGAAGAGCAAAACTTTCTTCTGAGGATCTCTAGAATAACCAGTGAAAATAGGGGACAAAGTCTGCTTTTTTTTAGGTTTTTCTAATATTTACATAGAAGCTGTTATAAGCTACTATACAGGATTCTTTTTTTTTTCTTGCATTTCTAGTTCTATCTTCTATACAATTTAAAACCTGAACTAATGTAAAAATAAAATAAGGTAGGAGCTTGCTAGAGCCAAGGTTTCTCCTTACCACTCAGCTTGGATCCAGTTAGTAATTTCTCCTACCCTGTGTAGACACCCTAGCTTCTTTGCAGAAGGTAACCAAGTAAGCTGTGTACTTATCTATTAAAGATAACTCACTGTCTCTTTGGTTTTTTTCTTGAAAATAATTCTGTATCCTGGCTCATCTCCCTTGCCCATCAAACATCACTAGCTTCAGGCCTTTTCATAACTGAACTTAAAGTTGTGTCTGCTACTCATTTTTCTGTCAGATAGGCATCTGGGGTCTAAAAAGAGAAAGAAGGAAAATCTCTGCTACCTCCAGAAGACTTTGATGTGTTCCGTTTGTTCACTCTGCCTTCCCAGTATGCAGTTTAAGGCTTCAGAGATTGGGGCAGTAGTTTTTTTCTTGCTTTGTTTCTGTGGTTCAGCTTTTTCTTCCCCTAGAATTGTATTTGTTCCTTTCAAAAGGCACTCTGGACTTGGGATGTGGTAGAGTTTAACCGTTTTTCCCTTGATGCTGGATATCAAACCCTGGTCCTTGTGCTGGTTAGAAAAACAATCAGTGACTAAATCTTTAACCCTTAAAATACATTCTGTTGGAAGATTGTGAACTTAACTCCTAAAGGCTGCCTTTGTTCTAGGCATTGGTTAGGAGAATTTGAGTTCTGGAGTTTGTATGGAGACTTGTTGAATTGTGAGTGAATGGAAGATTCCTTGTGATTTTTATCAACACATCACTTCTTTAAAAATAAAAAAGCTCCATCAGCATGGTCCTGAAATAAAATAATGTACCTCTGGAGGCAAGAATCTAAAAGCACCGGAATGTAGTTTTTCTGATTTCCTTTTTATCTTTACAGGAACTAATAATATTGTGAATTAAATTCATAATTAAATTAACTTATTTTTCACATTTTTATTTTAAAATGTCTCTAGTGAGATGCTAGATTATCCCATGGCTTTTCCTATCTTCTTGATTCATTGACCAATACCCTCAGGAAGGAAGAATGTAGTAGTATGTTTATTTTAGTTTGAGAACAAATTAAAATGGGTTATACAACTACAGGCTAAAACTGGTGGTAGGAAACTTCTCAACAGAAAACAGGAGTTAGGTATGGGTTAAAGCTCTTATGTTCTGTATAGGTTGAAAGACTACCCCTTACTATGTCCTCCCCATCCCCCATATCACTAAAATTATAGAGCTATAAATTCATCTTATGCCAGCCCTTTTAGTTACAAGGATATAAGCCTAGCATTCCTTCCATCAGAGATGTTAGGCTAAGTGAACTGAAGCTCTGAGAATAAGCACTCTGGGGACTCCATTGGACTGTTCCTAATACTTAACAATGTAGTGTTAAGCATTTTGAGCCCCAAAGTATCTTGTAGAATAGAAAGAACCAGGTTATCCACATCTTAAAAGGTAAAACTGTGTAGACTGATTCACAATGGACATTAAATTTATATTATCCTGCTTTGAAATTATATGCTGAGATTTTGTTCATATCCCCTTACTCCCCTCAAAAAGAAATTCACACATGTATTCTACACATAATATCTAGAAAGGGCAAAAGAACTACTAGGCAGCATTGGTGTCATGAATTCTGGCATCTCAGAATTGATTTAAAGGTCAAGAAAACATACCAAAATTCCTTTGCAGTGCTATAGCTAGAAAGGCTGCAGACATCACGTCCTAGGAACTGAAACTAGGCTGATAACAGAGCTAATCCTCTCTGTTTCCTCCTCCCCTAGGTGTATCAGTCACCTCCAGTAACACGGGTGTGCCAGATATCTCGGGTTCTGTGTACTCCAAAACCCAGGTAGGTGCCTGGTCTGGATAAAAGTAGGAGGACCTGGAGGTGGAGTTGCTGTTAGAACAACCTCAGGAATTGTCAGAAACCCATCCTGCCTTTTCTAAATGAATGTCTCTAGGCTTCAGTTTCTCTAGGACTTTACATTTAGTCCTCTGAGGTGGGAAAAAATGAGAAATGTCATAGGAAGGTCAAGTGTGGTAAATTGTAATGTGATGTCATTTACTTTGCAATGGTCTTGGCCCCTTTACCTACCTACCCACTTACTACCATTTTCATAACTTTGCAAGAGAATAAATAGGGAAATGGAAGGAAACTAATTTTGTTTCATGTAAATCCATAACCAAGAATGGAAATAAGTGAGGTATTTGTTACTGAGTTATCTATAGGTATGTCTGTTGTCATTTTTATGTCCCAGAACCTTCCATAAACAAAGTATCTCATAGTTTGTTCATTTCTTCTGAATGTCTAAAGAGTTTGAATTTATGCTAAACCACAGAGGCAGGAATGCCCAAACCACTTAGCACCCCTTTAATCTTTGTGAATTTGAGGTCAGTCTGGTCTACAGAGGGAGTTCCAGGACAGCCAGATTACATAAATAAACCCTGTCTCAAAAAAATAAAATAAACCAAAACAAAACCAAAAAGATACTGCTGACCTCTTGTTAAAAGCATCAAGCAGGAAGATGACTGTCAAAGCTCCCCATAAAATCTTACTTTGGTCAGGCATGATGGTACACACCTTTTAATCCCAATCACTTGGGAAGCAGGTGGGTCTCTGGAGTTTGAGACTAACCTAGTATACATAGTGAGTTCCAGGTCAGCCAGGACTACATCACTGCCTGACTTACCTCTTTTATTTATGAGGAAACTGAGGCTGAATGGTTAATTTGCCTAGGATTGTAGAGCTATGAAAAGGCAGAGCTAGGAACTAAAACTTTTGAATGTTTGACTTGAGATGTGTGCTGTTGTTTTTGACCATGCTGCTTTCTGAGGATAAAGGGGTATTTGGACTCAGAGAGTCCTAAGATTCTTCTAATGATCCTTTTACTCTTTCTCCTCCTGTTCTGGTGTAGCAGTCCTTTGAGAAACAAGGGTTTCATTCCGGTACTCCTGCTGCCTCCTTCAACTTGCCTTCAGCCCTAGGAAGTGGAGGGCCCATCAATCCAGCCACAGCTGCTGCCTACCCACCTGCCCCCTTTATGCATATTCTGACCCCCCATCAGCAGCCACATTCTCAGATCCTTCATCATCATCTGCAGCAGGATGGCCAGGTAATAACCCTTCCCCCTGTCTCCTTTCCCTTCCTCTTCCTTCCTGTCCCTTAAAACTACCTCCCTTTTCCTTTTCTTAACCTTCCTTCCCACCACCTTCACCCAGCCCTCACCAGTGCCAGCCAGGGGCACACAGCACATACAGACACAAGCGCACATAACACGAGCAGTTGGCAAAGGAGGCACGAGAGAATGGGCCTGATTGAAACCCTTTTGCCAGTTCCTTTGGTACCTTTCTCCTCCACCTCCCGTGGCACAGCTGTCCTCATCCTGTCAGACCTGGGTCACACCTTCCCTTTTAACCTCTCCCAGCCTTCTCCCTTCCCTGACATTATAGCTTTCCCTTCTAACGGTGGAGTTCTATTGTCAAAAGTTTGTCCCTTTATTTTCCATATATCCTGGTTCTGCCTCAGCTACCATATTTGCAGATGATTCTCTGTTGCCAGCGCCAGCAGGAGGAGCAGGTAATGAAAATGATAATATGCTTGAACCAACTTCTTTTTAGTCCCCATTTTACCTCCACAGCCTCAGATAACTTGAAAAGCCTACCCAATCACAAATCGGGATACACGAACAGAAACACTATGCTAAGCTCTCTGGCCTCCCCATCCTTTCTCTTCCTTCCCCCCTTCAACACCCTCTTTATCTTTCTACCCTTCCCTAACTCTGGACAACATTTGGTTACCACAATGGAAAAGATTCGTGGGGCAGCATCTGGAGCCTGATGCCTCAGGTCTTTCCTACTTTGTTTGAATTGGTTTCACATTAATTAATGTGTGGAGGTGGGTGAATCTGAAGGGTGGTTAAAAAAAAAAGAGAGAGAGAGAGACCACTTAAGAGTTCCCAACATAGGTGGCTGGGCGAATCCCTTGCTCTCAAAGATAGCTTTCCATAGTGAGGCATTCACAGAGATGAGAATGTAAACATCTTGTGATCACTCACTTCAAAAAGGCCAGAATTCTCATAGTTGCCTTTTTTTTTTTTTTGTAAGACCTGAGCAGTGGGTATTGGGGGAAGACAACTGAAGAGGAATAGAATCAACTCACCATATTATATCCAAAGTTTTCTTGTCCACTTTTCATTTTCTCTATTTTAAGGTTTAAAAAAAATGCTGCCTTGTAAAAGAGGCTATGTAGACCGAATTTTCCGTGCTTGAAAAGTAAACTTCATAGTAGATTCTAAGTAAAGGAAATGAGAGAGCATTAATTATTTTAGACATTTCCACTTGAAGATATTACAGATTGGTCCCACTAACTAGACACCTTTTTCCTTCCCCATAACCCTCCCATTCCCCTGCAGACGGGCAGCGGGCAACGTAGCCAGACCAGCTCCATCCCGCAGAAGCCCCAGACCAACAAGTCTGCCTACAACAGCTACAGCTGGGGGGCCAACTGAGGCCCTGACCCTCTTCTCCCGGTCCCATCTTCTGAGAGGGCTTCTCAGCCTGGAAACTATGGAAACAGCATCAAAGAGAGAAAAGAATGTGGGGCGATTCCGCTGCTCCACACCCCCAGCGGCCCATCCCACACCTCAGCTTCATGTCTGTCCCATTCCTATACCATCCCATCCTGTTGTATGTATTATAGGATTTGTATTTTCTCCCCGCCCCCTTTTCCTCTTTGCATTCAAGATTATGAAACTTTGCTGTGGGCCCTGCCTTTCCTTCACTTCTTCCTGTTCACCCTGGTGGTGTATGGGTGAGGTGGGGAAGTGAACCCCTGCCCCAAATATATATCAGCCCAACAGCCCTAAGTCTCCTCCTTTATCATTAGGAAAACCAAACACAAAACAAATGGCGTCATAAATATGAACAGCATTGTCATATGAATTAGTTGAAGTGTTTTTTTTGTACTGTGTTCTCAAACTTAATGGATTAATGTGTCTTGTATATATATACATATATATATAAAAAAAAAGGAGAAAAAAACCAAACCTCTACCTTCAGCCTCTGCCCATTCTTGCTCCGTCTAGGATATCCTCACTCTCGTCGATGACCAGCTTGGTGAATAAGTATTACCGTACCAACTGGGCCTCTTCTAGCTGGCTCGAAGGCTGTGGAATAAAGTGAAATCTTTGCCCTTTAAGAACTCTCACCTTAATGTGCTAATATTTTGCCCTTAAGGGGGTTTCCCTTTCACATCCTGTGACTGGAAAGAACCACTACAAAACTTCATTTCTTCTAGAAACTGCCTCATCTACATCAAGTTTCAGGAAGTGGAGGGGGAAGGAATACGGATATTTCAAAGAAAAAGGACTGGGAATATAAGCATGATTTTAAGGGATTTTGAAGTCTGATGCCAACTTTATCTGTTAACTGGCAAAACTAAAGCTCAACTGTCTTCTCTTTATAGAAGTAGAGTACAGTAGTTCTTGTTGCCTGAGTTTTGTTTTTGAGACAGCCTTATTGTGTGACCCTGACTGGGCAGTAACTTGGTATAGAGACCAGGCTGGTCTCAAATTCAGAGGTCTGCCTGGCTCTTCCTCTTAGGTGCTAGGGTTAAAAGTTCTTAATAGCGTACCCTGCCTTGCCTGTTTTATGTGACCTTAGGAATGCCCAATTTCTGGGAAAGGGGTGAGTGGTGTAGAGCAAGATAAGGGGTGGGGCATGTTGTGGTAAAACATTTTGAACTTCAATTACGTGGGAAGGTGAGTTTTATTTTTCTTTAGAAGAGCCTGAGACTTACCATATTGCCAAGGATTCAAGAGATTCAGCTTCAGACTTCCCAAACTGCAAGTATGACTTGGGTGGGAAGGGTGTGTCAAGGTCTCATGTAGCTCTGGCTGGCATGGAACTCATTGTGTAGACCAGGCTGACCTCATACAGAGATCCACCTGTCTTTGCCTCTTGAACGCAGAGATTAAAGACCTGCACCACTGAATCTCTAAACTACACGGTCTTGTTCCTATCAGGGTGCTTCAGTAGTTTCTCTTCCCTGCCTAGTATAAATCTTACCTTGTTGGTTGTAGTCTGTTTTAAAAGTTTAAAAGAGCAGGTAGGTATAGTAGCAACCGCTTTTAATCCCCGCATTTGTGAGGCAGAGGCAGAGGCAAAGGCAGGCAGATCTCTAGAGGTAGGCCTGGTCTATAGAGTTCCAGGACAGCCCTGGCTACACAGAGAAACCGTGTGTCGAATAAACACATTTAAGAGAATTTTTATGGTCAGAACTAACTCCCTAGTAGCTGAAGAGATTCCTAGCATCCTCATGTCTTTATCCAGCAGTAGGGAAATAGCCCTGGAAGGAGCTTGGTAAAACACTTTGCCCAACCTGTAGTGTTGGACGTCACATCAGTCTAAAAACAAACACAAAGTGGGCGTGTTTTCTGAGCCGGGGATCGAGGCGGGGCTCCGGACAGGCCGCCCCCTCTGGCGGCTTACTTGGAACCATCAAGAGAGTAACGGAAACACCCCTTGGGGGCTGGCAGATAGGCGGGAAAGAATCACCTAGAAGGGGTGTGATCTTGGACTGTAGGGATTCCGTATGCCCGCCCACCCTCAAAACTGAAAGGTAGCCTATAAGAAGCTTCGCGTCCGAGGAGCCGTCAACCCCGCCTCTTCCTCCTCCGGGTTACAGCCTTTTTACGACAATGCCGCGTTGCGGACTTGCTTTCCGGCAGCGAATACTGAACCCTGGCTATATCTGACAGAGTAGCGCAAGCTGGCGGTCAGGTGGTACTCATGTTCTGCAGAAGTTAAAAGTTCCTAGGGCACCTACGGAAATGAGCTTCTTTGACTTTTTCCGGGGCTTTTTCGGCTTTCGTGGACCTCGGAGGTGAGCGTAGTTCTGGGCTGGACCTGAGGAAGCCAGTGTTCTTTGGGGACGCTTGACCCCTTCACCGTATTTTTGGAAAGCTTCCTTCCCCGCCCCCTTCAACTCCTGCTGAGAGGATAGAAATCTCAACCTTGAGTACTCGCCACGCCACAGTAACCAAAGCGGTGTGAAGAGGAGAGAACAGTACCTTTCTCCAGAGTGGGGTGATGCAACAGGGACCTGGGCGGAGAAGACAATGGGGGTCTGGGGAAGAGGACAATGAGTAAATGAGCAGCAGGAGTGGGCTGACACTGGGGGTGGGGGGCATTTGGGAGGTGTCGGGAGGTTGTCATGGGCTCTAATTAGAAACAATACAAAATCCTAATAGACCACGAGCTTTGTTTTGACTTGGAAGCCAATTCTCCAGTGTTTTCTTCAACTGCCTAGACCCCTACATTTTGTCCCATTTTACTGGCCTTGGGTTGATTTTATTGCTTATACAGTGCTGAAATCTTCGTGGCTTATCTGCCTTCACTCTCAGCCACAGAGATTCCTTCTTTGGAGGGATGACTCGAGATGATGATGATGATGATGATGACGACGAAGAGGAAGAAGACAGAGGCACGTGGGGTCGAGGGAGCTATAGGTTTGATGGTTCTCAACCTCCGGAGGAATTCGGTTTCAGCTTCAGCCCAGAAGGAGGGATGCGATTCCATGACAACTTTGGCTTTGATGAGCTAGTACGCGATTTTAATAGCATCTTCAGCGAGATGGGGGCCTGGACCTTGCCTTCCCACTCTCCTGGTGTGTAGATTTCCCTGAGGGAGGATATTGGGTTAGTGGGTGAAATACAGACCTTGCAGAGTAGTTGGGGATATGCAAAAGCTAATTTCAAAAAGATTCAGTGTCTTAAGTCCTTTGCTATCCCGGTATCACCTGCCAACTTTTTATAGAACTTCCAGGTCCTGGGTCAGAAACACCTGGTGAGAGACTGCGGGAAGGGCAGACGCTTCGGGACTCAATGCTTAAGTACCCAGACAGTCACCAACCCAGGATCTTTGAAGGGGTCTTGGAGAGTCATGTAAGACCTGAATCCCCCAAACCAGCTCCAGATTGGGGGTCTCAGGGTCCTTTTCATAGGGTGAGTACTCTATGAAAGTACCTGAAGTGCAGTGACTGGAACCCTTACTGGAATCTCTTAGAGTTGAGTTGGAATTCTAGCCCCTCTAAGTGCATTTGTCTGGATTTTCTTCTTTGCTGGGCTTTTTGTTTTGAGACTTGGGATTCACTGTGTAGACCAGACTGGCCTCAGATTTAAAGATCTTTCTGCCTCTACTTAAGGGTTAAAATGGACCGGCACACCATCACATGGGAGTGTTTTGCCAGCTTGCATGTCTTTGCAACACACAGGGGTCAGGAGAGGGCACTGAATACCCTAGAACTCAAATTATGATGGTTGTTACTGGGATCTATACACTGGTTTTCTGCAAGAGTGTCCCCTACCCTCTTTTTATTCTATTTATCTATGTATTTTGAGACCAGGTCTCTCTGTGTCCTTAGCTGTCCTGGAATTTGCTATGTAGACCATGCTGGCCTCAAACTTAGGGATCTGCCTCCCTTGCCTCTGAGTTTGTTTGTTTGGCTTTTTGTTGCTCTTGTTTATTTTTAAGATTTATTTTGTGTATGTGTGTCTGCCTATTTGTGTACCATATGAGTGCCTGTGATGAGGTATTGTTGAATACTGCTTGATCTCCCCTGAAAGAGCAGCAAGTGTTCTCAATCTGTGGGCTGTCTTTCCAGCTCTGTTTCTTCTGTTTTCTTTTTGCTTTTTTTGTTTGTTTGTTTGTTTGTTTTTGGAGACAGGGTTTCTCTGTATTGCTTTGGAGCCGGTCCTGGCACTCACTCTGTAGACCAGGCTGGCCTCAAACTCACAGAGATCCACCTGCCTCTGCCTCCCAAGTGCTGGGATTACATGCTCGTGCCACCAACTCCAGGCTCTGTTTTCTTTTTGCAATACAGGAGCATAGAATACAAAAGGGAAATGGAAATATTCTGCTCTTTTTAATTACTAGTTTCAATTCGTGATTAAGACAAAGCTACACAGAGAAACCCTGCCTCCCCAAAAAAGGGGGGAGGGTCTTGAAGCTGGGCATGATGTTGCCCATCTTTCATCCCAGCACTCCTGAGGCAGAAATAAACCTATTTTTGTGAGTTCAAGGCCAACCTGGTCTACACAGAAAAACCCTCCCTTGAAAACACACACACACACACACACACACACACACACACACACACACACACACACACACACACACACAAACCAAGAAAAAAAAAAGGAAGAAAGGATCTTGACCAGGGCATGGTGGTACACACCTTTGATCCTAGCACTAGGAAGGTAGAGGCAGGCAGATCTCTGTCAGTTTGAGGCCAACCTGGTCTATAGAATGAGTTCCAGAATGAGAAACCCTGTCTTGAAAAAACAAAAACAAACAAAAAACCGATCTTGAAGATGCAAGACAGTTTTAGGAAGCCTATTTGATAAAAGTCCATATGTGACTACAGAAGGTGTGTGAACATAAACTACCCAAATGGAAGTTTCTGGCGTTTTGGAGGAGTCTGGGGTCTCTGCGCCTTCACGTTTCTGATTGGAAGGTGTCTTTTCACCCATTATGTGTGGCTTCTTCTACAGTTGGATGATATATGGCCTGCAACTCCCCATTCTAGAGCCAGAGAGGACAATGGTGAGTCTAGAGGGAGGGTACATTTACCATGTCATTCTCCTAAAGTTCTCTCAGAAGTTTCTTCCTCACACACTTGTCCTGTTTTCTTCCTTCCACCCTCTTCTGGCTTTTATCTCTCTGCCATTCCAGATCTTGACTCCCAGGTTTCCCAGGAAGGTCTCGGTCCACTTCTTCAACCCCAACCCAAATCCTATTTCAGGAGCATCTCTGTGACCAAGATCACTAAGCCAGACGGGGTGAGTTGAGAGAGAAGAGTTAAACTGGCCAGAGAATGTTCTGGAAAGAAGGGCTTGTGTAAGAAAACACTAAACTCAACATAGTAGCCTTAAAAGTATGTTGGGACTTCTCACAGGTAGTGGAGGAGCACCGCACCGTGGTGGACAGTGAGGGTCGGAGAGAGACCACAGTGACCCATCAGGAAGCACATGACAGTTCCACAAATGGTAAGTTAGGAGTGACTCAGAGAGCCATCTCTGGCCTCCTTGGGGATGGATATGCCTACCTATTGATACTTCCCTCTGTCTTATTCAACTTTCTTCCTTAGATCCAGTCTCAGAAAGATCTTCAGCTCTGGATGACCCCTTTTCCATCCTGGATTTGCTCCTAGGACGTTGGTTTCGGTCCCGGTAGCTTTGTAAACCTTCAGAAGCCTTCAAGTCGTTTCCACTCCCTTCCTGTTGCCCATTGCCAATAAGCTTAGCTTTTTGTGTCATCCTAAGGGTCTTGAGTGTGTGAAACAATTAATTGAGCTTATGCCAGTCTGTGATTCGTCCAAACTGACCAATAAAGCCTTTATTTATGCTAAAGGTCTTGGTCTTGATTTTATCAAGGTTCTGCTTTCCAGGCCCATCTCCAGGGCTTCCAAAATGATGTTGGCTTACAACTTTATATTGTGTGTGTACACCAGGGGTAGAGGTCAGGGCAACGTGTAGGAGTCAGTTCTGTTCACAGTGTGGGTTCCAACTCAAGTTCTCTGACTTGACAGCAGATAGTTTTACCCACTGAGGTCTCTCTCTAGTCCTTCATTATTATTTTTTAAGTATGTTTTCCATTTCCAAAACAAGACCTCATCAACGACAGACACAAGAAGAAAATGATATTCTTACTAAGGAAATGACTAGAGATAATTCCAGTAACATTTCTAGAAAAGAATTTTCAGATTGCCAAAAGGTGTTTGTATGAGAGTAAGACAACTGCTTCCCTAAATAAATACAGGACCACTGTCTGAATAATTCATGAGATAATTTGTACTCTGTGGACAAAGAGTATTTTGTAAGACAGGGTCTCATTATGTTGTTTCTGGTTGGCTTGGAGTTCCCTATGTAGACCAGGTTGGCTTTGAACTCAGAGATCTGCTTCTGCCTCCTGAGTGCTGGGACCAAAGGTGTGTGCCTTTTTATTTATCTTTATTTCCATGTAATTATTTCTTTATTTGTTTTAATTAATGTTAGAAAAAATGTAACTAGCAAAAAATAGATTTTTTAAAATTAAAAGATCTTTTTAGCTAAGCTGAAGTTTTGTCATTTTTTGTTTTAAATTGTTTTTGAAACAAGGTCTGACTGTAGACTATAGCCAAGCTGTTCTAGGACTCTGTCGTCCCAGGATATTCAGCGCTACCAGCCTGGTCTACAGAGTGAGTTCCAGGACAGCCTTCAAAACAATACAGAGAAACCCTGTCTCGAAAAACAAACAAACAAAAAAATTATATAAGATCTGAAAATGTGGTTCAAGGTTCATACCTCAAAGGCCTATG